TATTTGGCTGTTTCGGCAACCAGCCGAAACAGCCTTTGTTTTCATTAAAGTTTTTATTTTTCTTTTTTTTGTGGCTTTTCCGCATAGTTGCGGAAAAGCCTTTCTTTTTGTTCTCATTTAAAATTTTTTTTTGACTTTTTCACAATTTGCAAAAAAGCCTTTAATACCCGTTGGCGCGTAATTGCGAATTTTCCAGATGTGCCATTGTGTTGGGTTTTTGCACGACAGCTAAAATGGAAATATTCATAAAACTGTAAGTAAAACTACTTCTTATTTAAGATATAATTGTTCCAAATTATTTTAAAAATAAATACTTCAGGATATAACAGATGGTATTGTGCAGTTTTTGTCGTCACAGATGAAGTATTTACACGGGAAATAAACGTCAAATTTCGAGGAGAACACCGTTTACCCAAATTTCGTTTTTAATTAGGCTTTTATTAAAAAGTTTTAGAGAGATAGGATGCCGAACCGATGAAACAAAAGCGACATTTCATTATTCATCTTAAAGCTAAAGATATTGTGCGTTACCTTGGTTATGTAGTTATCACATATCAGAATTCAATAATAAAGACCAAAAACGTAGACTCATGAATATTCAAAAATATAATTCGCTGGCTTGACAGACTTCGAGGCCAGATCGGGCGAAGAGCCTTGCAAATCTGAAAGCCACCGCGCGCAGTGGTCTTTGTTGAAAAGTATTCATGGTATTTGCCACCAGTACAGGCCGCTATCACGCGTCTAACCAGGAGTTGGGCCGAGTCGTTAATCCTTGTGTGTAGGATCCGTGGTTGCTCTAGGTACTAGTGATCATTCAGTCTCAGAATAGTTTTGCTTGACTGAACAACCCAGATTTTCTTAACAATTTTTGAGGCCTTCCATTTATAAATAGTAATGAAAATAATCCTTGTTTTACTGGCCGTGACATGTTATGTTCGTGAACAAGACAGTACCGCACCGGATTTACAAATGCGATACCGAAATTGAAATTCCTAGTTTCGGTGCACCGAATTTACAAATCCGTTGATTTCTAGTGATGCTGCAACATGGCCTTTATTTTCGTACGGAGGTAGGGCCTAGGTGCGCCTAGCTCTACTGAGTGGAGCGTTGAACTACGGTACCCTCCGTACAAACGCTCCACCGATTTGGCATACTTTGATGACGGCTTCACAGTAGCATGATAGTGTACATACCCACGCGAGGACAAAAAGACCCCCCAAAAAACGGTAAAGAGAATACAAATGAGAAAGACAGTAGCACTGGATAGATCCACACATTCATGACATTCCATAAGACCCCTTATATTGTTCCCAAACAGTGGACATTTTGAAGAAAAAAAAACAGCAAAATAGTCAGAAAACTTAGAGCTCAATGTGTTTGCCGTGAAGCTCAGACCTTGCTCCGACTTGCCGACTGTTTCATGCACTAATATGAGGTTTACCACTCGCATTACAGCTGCGGTACAGGAACCGCAACCGACAGCGCATGAAACAGTTATCGGGTGTTACGCTTCCGCGTGACGTCATGCGCCAACAGCCAGCGCAGCCGGCAAAAACGACTAGCGCTGTGCCTGGTAATCGACCGCCATTCATTGTACACAATTTTTTTTGTGCACAAACCAATTGCGGTCCTGGCCATGCCCGCAAGGTTGTCAGGTTAGCGGTTATTCCTCCTTTTTTCACTGCAATTGTAGGCTGAATCTTCATCGTGGATCGTTTTTTACTTCAAGGACCTGTGTAATGGTTATTCCGGGCAAGTTTGGGGTGAGTTGCAGTTGCAATTAGTGTGTAACGGGGACAAAATTGAACATTTTCCAATTTTTTTCGCAATTTTTTTTGGGACCTGCCTACGCTGCTGGGTTACATGAAAAACTAGCTCCAGCCTAGACCCGTGAACGTGGACGTTGTATACAACGCCACGTTGTTGTGTCATTTTGAACCTAGCGAAATCGATCCGACATACATAATTCCGTATGGGTGTTGAGTACTCACCTATAAATCTAACTTTGCCCGTCCGATTGTTTAGGCTGTGTAATTTCGATGAAATTTGCCCATCAGTAAAGACCCATACGAACGTGTAGAAATTTCATTTTAACCCGACAAGTGACCCTGACAAATGACCCCAGACGAGTTGCTTGGACAGATTGACGGCTGTTTCATGTCGCAACCCCGAAAAAAAAAAACCGCACCCGATTGGCTGCTCGGCTCATCTCGTGTACGTATGTGTGCACACGCACGTGGGCGCACGTACGCCCGCGCGCGTGTGGTGCGGTGAGAGAGGAAAGGACTTGAAACTTGTCTAAAACGATGTCTCTTTTAGCTGCGACAGTAAACAGCCGTCGAATTATACGAAGGACGGTACAATAAAACGCAATGCGCATGCGTTACTTGGGAGAAAATGGCAGCTAGCAGGACTTCATAAACCGGGGCCAGAATTTTCCTCAAATTTCGTCAAATGCAAGTTTTGATGTACAAACAGATTTCAAGACAGCTTCATATGTGAGTACTTATTACATTTGCAAAATAACGTCCAGTGTGTGTAATGGAGGGAGTGAGAGGGACAATTTCGCCAGGTTCAGAAATACACAACAGCGTGGCGTAGTTTACAAGCCACGTTCACGGGTCTAGCTCCAGCCCTAAATGACAACCCAATGAAAAAATTTAGGGCTGGGTAACTCCAGCTACAAACTCAAAACTTTAAGAGATGATCTTTTGCTGAAATTGGTTTTAGTGGTCAGAAATTGCCTCAGATCACACAACAGAAATTGCTTTTCTATAACTGCATGTCTCCTTAACTATAGGCCTATCCCCATTTACATTCAACTCCCCAAATTTTCATCCCCAACACCACGCCCTATCCGATCTATGATCGGGTAAATCAGCTTGTTTATAATATATATGAAAACTGCCCAATAGCCCTAGCCTTGTTGCCATTTGTAGTTCGTGGCTCCAGAGGATTTTTTTTAAAGGGAAGTAAAGTCCGACATTTCATTAGGTCTGATTCCCCGCCCCCTGAATACAACATTACAACGATATTCAGCATGTTCAGTGCGGCACCAGACTAGGCAACAAGGCTACGAATAACACCTCCTTTTTTATTATATAGTCGGACTCCCCATTATCGCGGCATCCCTATTATCGCGGCATGGGAAATTTCTCTTTTCACAATGTCAAAACTCCTTCAAGTGGCGATTTTTATCCAGTTCACCAGTCATCAAGGATTTTCTACCGAGTTGTATAAAAAGGGGTACAACTATAGAATGCAGGGCCACTTTACTCTACATCCGCGCCTCCGTACGGCTGCGTGGAGGCGTGGAACCGCAGTCGACCTACCTCTGAAAATCGATCGTGGAGTCGTGGAGCCGCAGAGAATTGCGCCCTCTATCGGTGTGCGTCTCTGCGACTCCGCGCCTCCACCACTGAGAGACAGTGCCCCGTCGCCCTCCCCCCCCCTTCCTAATTTGCGCGCCCAATTAAAGCGACTCTGCGACTCTGCGACTCCGCGCCTCCGCGACTCCAGACAGTGCCCCGTCGCCCTCCCCCCCTTCCTAATTGGCCCGCCCAATTAAAGTGACTCTGCGACTCCCCGACTCCGCGCCTCCGCGACTCCAGACAGTGCCCCGTCGCCCTCCCCCCCCCTTCCCAATTGGCCCGCCCAATTAAAGTGACTCTGCGACTCCCCGACTCCGCGCCTCCGCGACTCCAGACAGTGCCCCGTCGCCCTCCCCCCCCTTCCTAATTGGCCCGCCCAATTAAAGTGACTCTGCGACTCCCCGACTCCGCGCCTCTGCGACTCCAGACAGTGCCCCGTCGCCCTCCCCCCCTTCCTAATTGGCCCGCCCATTTAAAATGGATATGGATGCTTCGTTCTCAAAAAGATTCCGCCGAGAATTGCGCCCTCTATCGGTGCGACTCCGCGACTCCGCGCCTCCGCCACTGCGGCCACTCCAGTGCCCCGCGTCTCCGCGATTCTGCGACTCCAAGACTCCGCGCCTCCGCCGCTCCAGACAGTGCCCCCAACACATTTACAAGCACGTCCTCCCTTCCGATCCTTCATGAGAAGCTTTGAAGACAAGTGCAGTGCATTCCTTCGCTGTACTTAGCACTTTTTTGCAGGTTTGCATATCTATTACTCCTATTCCATCCACGCCTCCAGGCAAAATAACAAACCTTGCTTCGGCGTGGCCCTGCATTCTATAGTTGCTCCTAAAAAGGACGATTAAAAAATGTTGTGTCTCTCGGGACTTTTATTAACGATTTTAATAAATATTAACGGTTTCCAAAACTTGCAAAATTTTCCCTCACCGTGTCTGCTAAAAGGTACCGTTTATATTTAACATAAATCTTTAATTGCGCTCTGTCCATGAAAGTTCCATTGTCTGGTTCCCATTCTTCAGCTGCAAATGTAAAATGAAGTCAGACGACGATATTTGCAGCGCGAAATCATAACAACTATTACGGGATTAAAATAAGCACCGCGCGTTAGCGAAAATAAAACGACACACCGTGTAAAGTGAATGGCGCCCTCAATCGCCGATCAGTAGACTTGCCTCAGGGATTTGTGTTCTTCTTTCGGGGGAAGGGCAGGGTCTTAAGAAATCATCCTGCAGACATCTTGTCTTTAATCAACTTGAACATTACAGGGAAAATATCAGACTTTATTCAGGGGGTGTTTTGGTCAAACATAAACTATGAACACAAAACTTTTCAAAAGTTGGGATCATTATAAAAACCACTTCCCGCATACCGCGATAATAGGGAGTCCACCTCCGTTCGCACACGCCGCGCATGTCTATTTTCACAGGCATCGTACACGGAATAAACCACACCACCCGTCAGATTTTTTTATATTAATTTAAAAAAGAAGAGTTATACTACACATAAGACAGGACAATTCTGGAAGGTTAGTGGGCAATCTCTCTTCCCAACGAGAAACGTGATAAGTACCGCGATAATACGGCGTTCCATCCTACTTTATAGCTCGATTGTGTAAAAACTTACCAAGTCCAAGGTCAACACCGGTAACTCCGTCGACCTGCTTTTCCACAACCATGATAACTGACAGTATTGTCATCAGCCTGATCATGATTTTTTTAAACATCGTGACATAACAAACATCCGCCTAGCCCTGCCCTAAGTCTATGGTCCTGTAGCCGACACATACAAATTTCATGAACTTGGCCTATGCATAGCGCATCGTGCGGGAATTTGCACGCCTGCGCACTTGCAGTCATTTTTAGAAAAAATATGTCGGTGACTTGCTACGTCACAGACAACCCGAACGTTTGCGGGTCAATCCAGGTCAATTCCCGCGCGGACCATCTATTTTTGAACCGACCGATATTGCGGTCGGCCGATATGTAATCTGATACGTTCCCACGCCAAGGCAAGGCACTATGCATACATGCTGCATACAAATGCGTATACGTGTATGTACGTGTATTGGATGATCCAGGGATCGGCGAGCTAAAGTTCAAGTCAATTTGTTCAAATCGGAGTTCGACTCGAAGCTTGCTTCATTTTATTTTTGACCAAAATGCAACTTGGGGTTACATGTATATTCAAAGTTACATAATAATACAGCAAATATGAAAGATCGTTTAGATCCCTACATCATTTGTTGTGAATTAGCCACTGGAAAACACAGTACAAAATAACCTTATTTAAGTTAAATAACTTTTCAAAATCTGCACCTGTGGTTTTTAGTATTTTACGACGATGGAAAAAAAAAATCATTTTTAAAGTTCTTTATCCTTTTTTCCCTGGCATATTTTTAAAGTTATATTTCATTGTCATAGTGCTAGCCCGGGGCGGATAAGCATCGTGTCTTTTTGCTGTCAGTCTTTATGGGGTTATCATTTAAAAAAATTATTGTGTTTTACAGGCATATTTTATTCATAGGTTAATTTAAATGTAAGTTAAGCTATTGTCAGTTCTTGCATGCTGTTTTTACTGTTTTTACTCTTTGATTTTACACCAGGACAAGAATGTGTTTGTTTTTAACTTAGATGACTAATAAAAGTACGATAATGAATGTTCACCACTTGTCAATAATGTCGAGAAGTTATAACAACAAAGGCATGAAAATAAAAGGAAATACACTTGATGCCAACTTCACGAAAGGGGTAGATCATGGGGGCAATTCCGAAGAGTCGTCAAAAAACAGACGCAAAACAAACTAGAAATGTGTTTGTGGACAAACACAAGCTGTTTCGGATATTTAAAATACTCTGTGCACATGATAAACACTTGATGAAGTCACTTCGAATGTCATCTGCCAAGTGAAAAGTCAATCAGACATATAGTGCCAAAGTATGATTTGAAGAAAAACGTGTACAAAACCTACGGGGAAAAATGCATCTTTAATGTGAAGTAACCTTACACCTGATGATGTCACGATCACGAATTTCTTCTAGGACCATCTGTGGGTGGTAGTCTAAGTGTGTACCAAGTCTAACGTGGATCGGATTTACAAAAGTGCCAAAGTAGAATGTTTTAAAACGTGTACAAACCCTATGGGGAAAAATGCATCTTTAATGTGACGTAACCCAACACCTGATGACGTCACGATCACAAATTTCTTCTAGGACCATCTGTGGGTGGTGGTCTAAGTATGTATCAAGTCTGAGGTCGATCGGATTTACAAAAGTGCCAAAGTGGAGTGTTTTATAACGTGTACAAACCCTATGGGGAAAAATGCATCTTTAATGTGACGTAACCCAACACCTGATGACGTCACGATCACAAATTTCTTCTAGGACCATCTGTGGGTGGTGGTCTAAGTATGTATCAAGTCTGAGGTCGATCGGATTTACGAAGAGGCCAAAGTGGAGTGTTTTAAAACGTGTACAAAACATATGGGGAAAAATGCATCTTTAATGTTACGTAACCCGACACCTGATGACATCACGGTCACGAATTTCTTCTAGGACCATCTGTGGGTGGTGGTCTAAGTATGTATCAAGTCTGAAATCAATCGGATTTGAAAAAGTGGCAAAGTGGACTGGTGGAAGAAACGTGTGTTAAACCTATGGAGAAAAAGTCTGAAAAAGGAGAAAAAAAAAAAAAACTAGAAATGTGTTTGTGGACAAACACAAGCTGTTTCGGATATTTGAAATACTCTCTGCACGTGATGAAAACTTGATGAAGTCACTTCGAATGTCATCTGCCAAGTGAAAAGTCAATCAGACATACAGTGCCAAAGTATGATTTGAAGAAAAACGTGTACAAACCCTATGGAGAAAAATGCATCTTTAATGTGAAGTAACCTTACACCTGATGATGTCACGATCACGAATTTCTTCTAGGACCATCTGTAGGTGGTATTCTAAGTGTGTACCAAGTCTAACGTCGATCGGATTTACGAAAGTGCCAAAGTGGAGTGTTTTATAACGTGTACAAACCCTAGGGGGAAAAATGCATATTTAATGTGACATAACCCAACACCTGATGACGTCACGATCACAAATTTCTTCTGGGACCATCTGTGGGTGGTAGTCTAAATGTGTACCAAGTCTGACGTCGATCGGATTTACAAAAGTGCCAAAGTGGAGCGTTTTATAACGTGTACAAACCCTATGGGGAAAATGCATCTTTAATGTGACGTAACCCAACACCAGATGACGTCACGATCACAAATTTCTTCTAGAACCATCTGTGGGTGGTGGTCTAAGTATGTATCAAGTCTGAGGTCGATCGGATTTACGAAGAGGCCAAAGGGGAGTGTTTTAAAACGTGTACAAAACATATGGGGAAAAATGCATCTTTAATGTGACGTAACCCGACACCTGATGACGTCACGGTCACGAATTTCTTCTAGGACCATCCGTGGGTGGTGGTCTAAGTATGTACCAAGTCTGAAATCAATCGGATTTGAAAAAGTGGCAAAGTGGACTGGTGGAAGAAACGTGTGTTAAACCTATGGAGAAAAAGGCTGAAAAAGGAGAAAAAAAACAAAAAAACTAGAAATGTGTTTGTGGACAAACACAAGCTGTTTCGGATATTTGAAATACTCTGTGCACGTGATAAACACTTGATGAAGTCACTTCGAATGTCATCTGCCAAGTGAAAAGTCAATCAGACATATAGTGCCAAAGTATGATTTGAAGAAAAACGTGTACAAACCCTATGGGGAAAAATACATCTTTAATGTGAAGTAACCTTACACCTGATGATGTCACGATCACGAATTTCTTCTAGGACCATCTGTAGGTGGTAGTCTAAGTGTGTACCAAGTCTAACATCGATCGGATTTACGAAAGTGCCAAAGTAGAATGTTTTAAAACGTGTACAAACCCTATGGGGAAAAATGCATCTTTAATGTAACGTAACCCAACACCTGATGACGTCACGATCACAAATTTCTTCTAGGACCATCTACGGGTGGTAGTCTAAGTGTGTACCAAGTCTGACGTCGATTGGATTTACAAAAGTGCCAAAGTGGAGTGTTTTATAACGTGTACAAATCCTATGGGGAAAAATGCATCTTTAATGTGACGTAACCCAACACCAGATGACGTCACGATCACAAATTTCATCTAGGACCATCTGTGGGTGGTGGTCTAAGTATGAATCAAGTCTGAGGTCGATCGGATTTACGAAGAGGCCAAAGTGGATTGTTTTAAAACGTGTACAAAACATATGGGGAAAAATGCATCTTTAATGTGACGTAACCCGACACCTGATGACGTCACGGTCACAACTTTGTTCTAGGACCATCTGTGGGTAGTGGTCTAAGTATGTATCAAGTCTGAGGTCGATCGAATTTACGAAGAGGCCAAAGTGGAGTGTTTTAAAACGTGTACAAAACATATGGGGAAAAATGCATCTTTAATGTGACGTAACCCGACACCTGATGACGTCACGGTCACGAATTTCTTCTAGGACCATCTGTGGGTGGTGGTCTAAGTATGTATCAAGTCTGAAATCAATCGGATTTGAAAAAGTGGCAAAGTGGACTGGTGGAAGAAACGTGTGTTAAACCTGTGGAGAAAAAGTCTGAAAAAGGAGAAAAAAAAAAAAACTAGAAATGTGTTTGTGGACAAACACAAGCTGTTTCGGATATTTAAAATACTCTGTGCACATGATGAACACTTGATAAAGTCACTTCGAATGTCATCTGCCAAGTGAAAAGTCAATCAGACATATAGTGCCAAAGTATGATTTGAAGATAAACGTGTACAAAACCTACGGGGAAAAATGCATCTTTAATGTGAAGTAACCTTACACCTGATGATGTCACGATCACGAATTTCTTCTAGGACCATCTGTGGGTGGTAGTCTAAGTGTGTACCAAGTCTTACGTGGATCGGATTTACAAAAGTGACAAAGTAGAATGTTTTAAAACGTGTACAAACCCTATGGGAAAAAATGCATCTTTAATGTGACGTAACCCAACACCTGATGACGTCACGATCACAAATTTCCTCTAGGACCATCTGTGGGTGGTGGTCTAAGTATGTATCAAGTCTGAGGTCGATTGGATTTACAAAAGTGCCAAAGTGGAGTGTTTTAAAACGTGTACAAACTCTATGGGGAAAAATACATCTTTAATGTGACGTAACCCAACACCTGATGACGTCACGATCACAAATTTCTTCTAGGACCATCTGTCGGTGGTGGTCTAAGTATGTATCAAGTCTGAGGTCGATCGGATTTACGAAGAGGCCAAAGTGGAGTGTTTTAAAACGTGTACAAAACATATGGGGAAAATGCATCTTTAATGTTACGTAACCCGACACCTGATGACGTCACGGTCACGAATTTCTTCTAGGACCATCTGTGGGTGGTGGTCTAAGTATGTATCAAGTCTGAAATCAATCAGATTTGAAAAAGTGGCAAAGTGGACTGGTGGAAGAAACGTGTGTTAAACCTATGGAGAAAAAGTCTGAAAAAGGAGAAAAAAAAAAACTAGAAATGTGTTTGTGGACAAACACAAGCTGTTTCGGATATTTGAAATACTCTGTGCACGTGATGAACACTTGATGAAGTCACTTCGAATGTCATCTGCCAAGAGAAAAGTCGATCAGACATATAGTGCCAAAGTATGCATTGAAGAAAAACGTGTACAAAACCTATGGGGAAAAATGCATCTTTAATGTGAAGTAACCTTACACCTGACAATGTCACGATCACGAATTTCTTCTAGGACCATCTGTGGGTGGTAGTCTAAGTGTGTACGAAGTCTAA